TGTTTGGTGTTGAAAAATTTCCATGGCTTTTTTGAATTGACCTTCATAATGGACATTAGCTCCCTTTTTTATTAACTCTGTAAATATCTGACCATATTTTACATAGGTAAAAGCTTTATTAATGCCAACCCCTCGAACATTTTCTAGGTAGTCACACCCTGCAGCTATGCAACCATGAATGAATTGTGTCATGGTTACATTCATCTCATTCAAAATTTTGTCGAGCTCAAACAGCTCTCCTGTGCCATTTTGTTCAAGTTTTACCAAAACCTGAAAAACACAATAAAGTTTTCTATACCAGGTGTACCTGTCAGTGACCTTATTTGTATCCTTAATCCACCAAGAGGCCAGCGTTCACCCCATGACGAGTAAAAAAATCAAGTAAAATAATAAAAAAGTAAAATAATAAATTAGGATGTGGCAATGAACCTTGAGCACCCTACATGTACTCATTACTTTACTTGTCAATGTTATTGTTTTTTGCAACAACCTCTTGGTCAGGCCGGTTCAGGCCAGAGCTTATTTTCCACTACAAAAGGCTCACAGTGTAACAGGCTTTTAGCCAGAAGGGTGTCCAGACATCCTGGGACGCCCATAGAACAAAAAATGGATGCCCAAATTTTGAGAAAAAGGGAAATCATTTTCAATTATTTCCCTTAGTATATTAATATATTTGAAACGAAATAGCTTCAATTCTCATTATTATTATACATTTGATATTTTGATCAATTTGATGATGTACCTGGCTGAATGAAAATGTTGTAGTTAAGTAAAGAAGCATAGCGGCACAAACTCACAAAGCCAAGTGTGTTTGAAAAATTTCGAACAAGCTTGGAACAGATACTGAACAGTAATAAACCAAATCTTACTTTTTTGCAGTGGTGCTGTGACGTCATGTGCAATGGGTTTATAGGTTGAATGTTTAATATAAAGTCACTGTGTGTCAGTATTTCTATAGTTTACTATTGTTTTAACTTTTACAATATCTGTATGACTTGTACAATATAATACAGCTTGAAAATACATACAAGTTTAACTAATTTTGATAGATGCAGATGCCAATGTTGCCAGACAAAATTGCTGGAGGGAGTTGTGGAACATCGGTGTTGTAAAGAAATGACACCAGCCTTACAAATAATGACATTTGATGGAAGCATTGAACGAATTAGCTGCATCACACAACATGAGCATTTCGGGCTAATGACATACAGGGCTGTGGTCGATAAAAATGCCCCGTGAAATGAGAATTAAGGATGTCTGTTTTGTGAACTGTGATTTTGCTTTGTTTATTTTGATATATTCTATAATAGTTATAATAGACATGATACGCGATAATCAATTTATATGATCTCACTTGATTGCACAAGAGTAAAAACTTTGGAGGCCTTTTGGAGGTCGTCGGACATATTCGTCACTCAAACTTCTAAGTTTTGATGTAGTTTTTAACTGACAGGTTGTACCATGCATTAAACATACTCTTAATAAACCTATTATTATTATATTATTTTATTAGAATCTAGTTTTCCGTGAAATTGCTTTTTTAAGACACATGAATCGTGAAACAGCTTTTTTTTCATTGTGAAACATGATCCATACCACCCCTTTCCCACCCTTTTTACAATGATGTATCAAATGAGTTATAATCTTATTGATTTTAATACCGATAACTATTTAATACCACATACAGAAACTAGGACATGTGGCAGCCATCCTCTGAAATTCCAGATCCCGAGAGCAAATAAAGCAAATACTGTTCATCGTTTCTTCATAAGGCATTTATTACACAGGACGAAAAGCGTGCCATTAATTAGCTTTAGCAAAAATACTAAAGATATTAAATGTGCATTTATAACTTTAATAAGCCGACTAAAGGTAATTAAAGAAAAAGTTACATTTAATCGCACTTAGTCTGAATAAAACACTTCTTTTGGAAACTGATACACTTAATTGCATTTAGTGAGGATATTAAAGTGGGTTAAAACCAACATTAAAGCGTGCATACTTTAATGACCTTTAACGCGTTGTTTAAATGTTGATTAAAGGCAGAGATAGCATTTAATCACCTTTAGTTTGATTTTAAATGAAGACAAAACCTGACACCTACTTTAATCCTCTTTATGACGACAAGTTAATAGGATTAAAGATAATGTAATTGCAGCAGTTATGGTAACCAATAAACATGATGACATCTGATACGTTTGTTACTATCATGATACTATGATATGCCTTCATTCCACCTGAATTAAGCACTGCGAGACACTGTCAGACAATACAAGAAGTAAGAAATACTTGTTAGAGTGCAAATTCGCTCTAGTTTCATTATTGACTATAAAGTGTGGAAGTGATTGACATATAAGTTTATAAATGGCATCAAAGTGCACGGTAGTTATAATACGATATGGACAAGGCAGGCAAACAGTTATGTGTTTTGTGACCACTGTGAACAAAGCGTTTCGGAAACAACATTCCGTAGGCATATGGCTTTAAAACAATCTCGCCAGATAAAGAGAAGTTTGAAGAAAGATTCCTCAGGCCGATTAATGCTTGGCTCTGCCCACGCTTGACTTGATATCTCCGCGCGAGTTGCGCACGCGATTAACATATCTAGCGTGTTGCTATTTTAGTGCGTTTTAGCTGCATTTTAGCTTTCGAATGAAACTGAAATTGAATAAATATGAGCTGTTGCATCATGTTAGATTATAGCAACCAGCAGGGATAGTAAATTATTAGTTTTTCTTGTACAATTGGCCGTTGTATAGTATAATACAACATATGTGATATGCGGCGACCTTTGAACTTTGATATATTAATATAATATAAAGTTCGCTATTGCGGGTTTTTATGTCTGAATTATTCAACAATGATTTGTGATCCCTCTTTAGTTTCACACGCACAGAAAAATATTTGAAATACAAATAAGTACCCAGCATATGGCTGGTTCAAACTTTTTGACGGTGGTGATATTTTAGTGTGACATATTTCTCTTAAAACTCTTAAGGGCGCAATAAATGTTGTTGTTGAAATATAATATCCTTTCATATAAAGGCTCAGACTTGTGTCGAATATTCTGTTCAATATATATACGAACATATGTACTTATCATATTATACTTCTGTACATATTATTCTCTCTGTTCCTCGCATATTCTTTGAATGCACTACTTATTAGTTGCAGTTTGTTAGTCATATTGTATGTATATTTGTATTTCATAATATTTTGTTTCACGGCAGGGGCCTATGATGATTATGGCGTGCGCGAATTCATAAAGCGAAAAACGCGTTGGACTTGCAGACACATAAGACAACGTTAATGTGGGTAGTTAATACGTAGATTTTGTCCAGATTACAGCCAACTTTGGTCCCACAATTAGAATGCTAAGCATTGTAATCTGGAACGATCGTTTTAGTGCAAATAATATTGACATTGTGCAAGACATTGTTGTATTCATAGCAATATTTTCATATCTGTGGCAAAATCTTCAAGTTTCTAATTACAGCAATGCAGTATAAGAGTAAAAGGTTCCGTGATAAAATTCTTGTACATATCCATGAATGTTTAGTGTGTCGGCAAGCCGTGTTTTAAAACATTAAGTTAATTTCCATTATCACCGCCTATATCTTGCCACGTGACCAGTTTCCATGGAAACCAAATAGTTGAAAAATATCAGCAGTTGATTTCCAACATCTCATACAAAAATGAGAGTCGTAGTGTACTTTGTTAATTTTTAATTAATTTTTAAAGATTTTTCCTATTTCTCCACTCCTTACGAAATTGGAGCCATGTATTAATGCACCTGAGTCCTCAACACATCTTCATCCGACACATACGTTGAAACTGATTGTAACAGTTGCAATTTGAAAGGCGAGAGTGTTTGCATGAAAATCATGTCCATATTAAACATATAGCTATGTAGTATTTAAAACATGAGAAGGAGTGTTTTATCATATTTAAAACGTGAGGCGCAGCCGTGCGTTTTAGATATGATAAAACACAAGTTCGAGTGTTTTGAATAGCTTAAAATACGACTACAAAAGAAAACTAATTAGGATGAACGATTATATAAAGAATACTAATGAAGATGAGTTTTATCAGATATAAAGTCACTCCACGTGACATATTATTATGGCTGTCACAATTTGCCACAAGGTTTAAGAATTTGTAACGAGTATTTTAAATGTATATACAGCAGGGCCGTAAGAAAATCGATAATTGGGGGGCTCATATTCATATATATTCGTGTTCTGCATTATTCACTTTTCTTTTGAAATCGATTGTTTTTACGGTCTGTAAACATGAACATATGAATATGAGTCCCCGATTATCGATCTTCCTATGGCCCTGATACAGGGTGTATAAACAGGACATTTACAGTAAGAGAGCAAACGTTTGGGGAGTTAGCAAATGGCCTCTGCAAATGTTGTTGTTTTGAAAGCCGACCAATGACAATGTAGCGTGTAATTCGAATTTGAAGGCCATGAATTCATACCGGTCACAAACCTCGGAAGATTAGATATTCGTAAGTTTCAATTGGCATTTTCTGCAGGAAGATTATTGTTCAATTCTGTTAAAGAAAAGTATATTTTGTAAAAATTATCGCTCTTCCGATGTCACATAATTTGGCGATGATGCGACAGCCGAAGTTCGCGTTATTCGATTGATTTATGTCAGCGTTTGTCCCAATTAGTTCAATTAATGGTTTCCTGCTGTTAATCCTCATGTCAACCCCAACTATGGCTGTTAACCTCTTGTCAACGCCAATCTTGGCCGGTTCTCGTTAAAATCTTTCAGGAAACACATGTAAGTGCTTTTCAATATACTATTATATAAAGATATAACGTAATAAATTAATAACACAGGATTTTCTAATGATTTTCAATATACTATTTATATAAAGATATAACGTAATAAATTAATAACACAGGGTGAGATTGGGCCGCTGTGGTCACACAAATCAATATCTGACAAATCCCAGTTATTTGGCTGGGTTGCTTTCGAGCACAATGACCATGTCTATAGCAGGTGGTCAGACAAATCAATATCTGACAAATCCCAGTTATTTGGCTGGGTTGCTTTCAAGCACAATGACCATGTCTATAGCAGGTGGTCAGACAAATCAATATCTGACAAATCCCAGTTATTTGGCTGGGTTGCTTTCGAGCACAATGACCATGTCTATAGCAGGTGGTCAGACAAATCAATATCTGACAAATCCCAGTTATTTGGCTGGGTTGCCTTCGGGCACAATGACCATGTCTATAGCAGGTGGTCAGACAAATCAACACAAAAATCTTAGTTACTTTGTGGCCACAGTGAACACAATCAGTGCCAGTGATTATAACCCGGCAGAGGAAAGTTGTACTGAAGAATTCAGCAATTTAAACTATCATGAAGATATTGCCAATGCCAGTGACGTATTATATCCTTTGTACCAAAGGGATACCTACTTAAGTGCCACTTATTCATGTAATTTACGTGGTGGTATGTATTCTTCAAGTAATGATCCCAATTTGTCTTGGAGTGTTTTGGAAAATAAGTTAGCTTTAATAAGTCGAGCACCAGAAGTTCACCTGGTGACTGCTTTTTTGCATCTTTAGGGCATAGTCTATATAAAGATCCTAACTCCCATTTTCAAATTCGTAGTGCAGGAATTACACATTTAGTAAGCAATCCCGAGTTATATATTGAAAGTCTATCAGAAATATCATGGCCATGGGAAAATTATTTATATAATAACTATAGTGAAACACGCAATTTGATTGGTCAACAGCCGTGCAGGATCAGACAATCCTGCACAGGAAATTCTGAACAGAAATTCTTGCACATAATTTTACAAATATACTCGCATTGTAAAGTTTCATTGTACGATACCTTCTGATTTTGAAGTAAGTTTCCAATTATTGAGACGTTGGTTTAGTTGTATGAATAAATTTCTGATCGATACATTGCTATTCAGCAAGTAGCAAGGCGTAGCATTGAAATTCATCAGACCATGGCATGCAAATACAACATCTCTCGCTTCAAAGTTGATCAAACCGCTTCACAATCTTCACATATTCAGGTCGAGAATCTTCAAAACTACACTGGCTCTCTGTTTAGCGTGTTTTCCATTTCAAATTTTGTATATTCTATCGAAAAAGTCCCTGTATTTTCGCGAATTTGCGATCAAATTGTGTTCACATATGTTGTTGTTTTCAACAGCGTGGAGTAGCGATTCTCTGATTGGTTAATTCACTAATGTTGTGAGAACTGTACATTTCATCAGTAATTTTAATCATGTTAAGCGTCGTTTCACTGTAGTAATTTTATAAAACAATTACCAAATGGTTTTTCTGTGCAGGATAGCATGATCCATGCACTTGGGATGTTGCTCGACTTTCGGAAAGTGTAAAAATACATTTTCACGCTTTCCGAAAGTCTCGCAACATCCCGCATGCATGGATCACGCAATCCTGCACGGAAAACCATTCGGTAATGTCACAACCTGGAACATGGCCGGTGTGACAATATCATTATAACTAAACTATAAACGAGCAAGTAACGATAGCGAAGACCTCACCATCACAAAATTTACCAAGGTTTCAACTCTTGAAAAGAACGAGGTGAATTTTCTCTTTTCGGAAGAAATATCTTCAGCGTCGACAGGAAAATCAGTTAGTATTTCCAGCATACCAAAGCTAGCTATGGAACAACTGATCCAGATCAAAAGTAAAGTGATGAAAATGTCTGACGTTAAAGTAAAGTCAACGTGTTTTGGCCAAGTAAAGAAACGAGATGTCATTGTAGCAGACCCGACTGCTACCGTTAAAGTCGTTCTTTGGGGGAGCATGCGTAAATTGTCTCCAACTAAACGAGACGCATACCTTAAAGAATGTCCGAGTAAAATCCACAAAGTATGGTCAGTATCTTAATAGTCCCAAAATGAAGGTTTTTCGGCACCTGATGCTACCCCTTATTTGATACCTGTTGTGGAATACGAAGACGAAATTGACACAACATCAAGTGTCAATGGTACCATTATAGGAGTTGAACAAGCTTCTAAGCATATCGGTTGTAATGGCTGTACCAAACGAAACGTTGAAATTGTTGCTCCCGTTGAAATTGTTGCTTGAAATTGTTGCTGCCAGTCTTGCAAGCTACAACAGCTACCATCAACCTGTTCTATCCACTGGACCCTGAGTATTCTCGTTAAGCCTAAAAGCGGCTCCAAAAACGTCCATCTTCGTTTAGACAGCAATTCAACAGACGCTTTACTGCAGCTCATCAACCCAGCATCCCAACTTGAAACAGCTATCGAAGATGTCATTGTTGCGATGATTCTGGAAAATTATCAAACCTCTCTAACTTTTACGTATGATGCGTTTACTTACCAAGTTAGCGAAGTTCGTCGTTCTACAGTTTAAACTGTTAACTGCTTAACTTAGTTTGTTCTTTAAAAACATTGCATGCCGTTAAAGGCCCTGTCACACTATTGCGTATGAGAGAAACGTATGAGAAGCGTACGAAAATTAATGAAATAATTTTCATACGCACAAAAATCCTTTGAAATGCCAGCGTATGAGTACCGTACATCTGGCGTACCTCTAGCGTATTCAGCATGTGCCTAGAGTATGCTTATCGTATAAAGCATACGTCTGATACGCGCAAAATTTTTGAACATGCTTAAAAATATTTTCTGCCTCGCCGTATGCCAGCGTATGTCACCGTATATATGCGACCGTGCTTGAAACTTATACAACCTATGCCTAACGTACCCCTAGCGTATGTCAGCGTATACCGGCATATGAGTGATATTTTTCATACGCTGGCATACGCTAGTACGATACGCAATAGTGTGACAGGGCCTTAACCTACTTAAAATGTTAAAACTGTCTACCATGTATGGTAGAACATTTCAAAGTTTCGCTGGCTTGTTTGTTCATAAAAAAACATTTATATGGAACTTGACTTTAGTTAAATCATATGTGTTGTATAAGGCTAAAATAAGGGCGAAGGGTTTGTTGAGTTTTGTTTATTGTTGATTAAAAAAAGATTTGTGATGACTGTCATTGTATTTACTGTCCATTTTGCGGCCACGCTATTAATATATATATATATATATTTTGTCATCTTTAGAATGTTGCCGTGTTGTTAACAAGAAATCACACATTTCGAACGCACATCGCTAATCTGTGATTACTTCTAGTTTATATATATATATAGCTTCTTTGGGTAATTATAATGTAGATAAATAAATTTTATAAACCAGGGGTGTCTTTTCCAACAAACTAAAAATTGCTTGCCTGCGAATTTTCAAAGCTTTATTACTTTAATCATATTTTGAATAGCTTTAAAGAATTACTTTAATCGTAGTTTTTAATTACTGTACAAAAAATTTCAGCCAATTTTCTTCGGTTTAAGCCCTTTATAATTAACTATTCACGCAAACTTACATTTTTTCCTAAAAAATCAGCCTTTTGCATGCTTAATTATGACTTTGCCTAATTTGCATATGAGTCAGCAATATGCAAATTAGGGCTTAAACTAAAGTAAATTGTCTGAAATTTTGTACGAAAAAGTAATTAAAACCCCAACAAATTTTCCATCCATTAACTGAAAATATGAGTAAAGCTTTTAAATTTCGTGTCCAAGTAATTTATTTTGTTGGAAAAGAAACAGCCCCCTGCTTTAATGTAAGACAAAAAAAGAAGCTAAGCTGTCAAGAAAGTATGGAATAAACTACAACAGTGAACTTTTAAAACTAGAATATTTTGATGTAGTCAGATTCTGTTCTATTGATCCAATGCATAATCTGTTTCTTGGAACGACAAAATATATTTTAAGCACTGGGTAAGAGAAGGAATTCTGAACAAAAAAGACCTTGAGACATTATAAAGTAGGATAGATGGACTTGGAGGTACCTGTTGACACTGGAAGACTGCCAAAGGTAATTTCATCAAATTACAGTTCCTACACAGCAGAACAATGGAAAAATTGGACACTCATATACTCCTCATATGCTCTTACCAGAACAAGATTTTAAATGCTGTGGCAGTCTTATGTTGGCTTGCACGTATCTGTGCAAACCTATACTTTCCAACGACAACATCATAAAAGCTCATTTTTTGCTCCTGAAATTCGGTAATGTGTGTCAAAAGCTTTATGGAAATCACTTCTGTACTCCAAATATGCATTTGCACTGCCATTTAAAAGATATACTTAAAGATTTTGGACCTATCCACTCATTTTGGTGCTTCAGCTTCAAGTGCTACAATGGCATCCTGGGAAGTTTTACAACAAATAAGAAGGCCATTGAATTGCAACTTATGCGTAAGCTAACAACACAATGGTTTCTCCACAACATGACGCTGGACAAAAATTTACAGCCTTACTTTGACGATGTCGTAACCATAGCAAGAAATGACTGTAAAACTATTTATTTGGCTTTCACACTAACCGAACTCCTAAATTTCTTTTATACTGACGTTATGGCAAGAATATCATAAGTGAACAGCTTAGCAGAACTATTTGGAAATATGGCACGATTGAGATATTCAACCAACAATTTGGGTGAAAGTTGGCTTATAGAAGTAAGCGATCAACTGGAGTGTTAGCAGGTTGGCCGGGATTAGACGGTGAAATTGATGAAACTTATTATATTATTATATTGTAGCTGCACTAATTGCCAACGTCATACTGAAATGTTTTATGCCAATGGTGTTTTATGCCAAGCATTTAGGAATAACCATGCAATGCAATGTGACCGGAGATGCACTTCCGATTCAAATAAGTTGAAAAGATTATTAATCATACGGTACATAAATTATTAATCATTATTAATCATTCGTTCCATGAATACAAAAATGATATTATTTTGCCATTGACTGTATTTTGACTGCTAAAGACACACATTTACCGTTTGAGTGATGTTTTTTGAGTGCGATATGCACAAATCACAAACATTTCAAGTTTGAATATTAGCATACATGTAATGTACAAAATGACATCACTCAGACAGTCACTATCTTAAACATATTAGAATATGATTTCTAATATAGCATTGTAAATTCTGAATGCTGATTTGCTACGAACCATGTTTAATATATACCGTAAACCTGCGACTATAAGCCTGCCTCCCGAATATAAGCCCCTCCCACGAATATAAGCCCACCACATATACTAATGCTCACCTCATTCCAAATATAAGCCCCCCCCCAAATATAAGCCCACCCGAATATTAGCCCCCGAAATATAAGTCCCCCAAGTATAAGCCCAGTAGCCCACTACGTTATTCAACATTGACATTGTCTTTTAATATAGCAGAGAACGATATTTAAAAACATTGTCATTGTCTTTATATAGCCGACTATATATGTGAATCAAAGCGCATTATTAATACATGTTTATTTTCCTGTTTATGACTGACTTGTTTATTACTAATACGAAAGATCGTCCATGTATTAGCCCCCCGTATATAGCCCCCCCCCCCCTTGTATAAGCCCATCAAAAATCGCTTACGAAAGTATATATAAGCCCACGGCCTATATAGTCGGAGGTTTACGGTATATACTGTATATATATATAACTTAATGACAATGTAAGCATGGAGATTTCCCGCATGTTGACATGGTGTACTTATTTTATAGTGCTGTTTTATAAAATATAAAAAATCTTTCCATGCTGATCCAAAGTATATATAAACACTCGTGGTGAAACACTGTGTTTGTGCAAACAATTTGCTTTTTCCACGTGTATATGTATAGTTTTTAAATGCACCCTGTCTGTGTTTTAGTGGATTTGTATGCAGTTCTACCAGTAGCACAATTGTTGCCAACCTCTTTGAATTCCAAAGCTACATTAAAAGCCTTAGGTCGTTTCTCTGGTGTTCCATGTATACATTTTTGTGCTATTTTCTGTAGATCAGTTGATTTTGTGTAGCAGACAACCAGAGAAATTATTTGGCCAAATGAGTAGATGTGCTGGCTGTACAAATTTTAGCACTTTCAGCTTTTTTCATTTTTCCAAAATCAATAATTACCGGTTCGCGAACGTCTGCGCTGTTCTTCAAGATAATATTATTGTGTTTAATATCGCAATGAATTAAACCTTTTTCAGGAATGTGAGCAAGAGCACCTGCACATTTCTCCAGGATGAATGCCCATTCCTTTGCTTCTAAAGAGAGTTTCTTTCCTGCACGGCCAATGGTAACACACTGTCCACCAATTCCATAAAATTCAGTGACCAACATGTATGGCTTTGATTGTACATTGACACCAAACAGAAATGGTAAACCTAACATGAGAAAAGCATTATAAAATTATGAATAAATAAGTTGTGAGTCTTCTTGGATTTTCATGTACAGTACAGTTGTAACACAATCTGAATACAGGGTCAGAATGTGTTAAAATTGTACTGATTGTTTTGAATAAATATAGTGTGTAGAAAGTATACTGTAAGGGCCTCATTACTGAGGAGAGACTGAGAGTTACCTGGCTAATCGAGTTACTCGCTTTGCCGGGAAACATAGCTACAATAGGAAATTTAGAGTTTTTCCAGCCTATTGTTTACATGGCACAATGGGGAACTTGCCTTTCCAAGTTACAGGGAAGGTGAGATCAATATTTTGCCATGTGAACATGTTCCCCCAGTAATGCACCTAGCCAGATTTAGAATGAGTATTATACCACCCTAAATTTTCCAATACATATTTCAACCTATTCATACATATTGAATGTATTGTTCAGAGGGGGGCGCAAAGGGGGCAATTTGCCCCGGGGCCCCAGTTTAAGGGGGGCCCTGCAAAATAAAAAAAAAATTCAAACCTTTTATATAAATAATGGAATGAGAAAAAAATTTCTAAACCAAAATTTTACATATATTGATAAAAAAAAGGGTTTGACCCATATTGTAACAGGAATTTGCCCGGAAAAAATGTTTAAACCTAAGTTTAACTGATGTTTGACCAGAAAAATTTTGACCCTTTTTTTAATGTCTGGAAAAAATGTTCAACCCCCTGATTAGGGGACCCTATCTCAGGTACAGTAATTAAAACTTTTACCTGAAATCTCATTCTAATTCATACCTAATTTTAGTGTGCAGTGATAACCAATTTGTGCAGTGATAAAATGTAAAATGGGCAGTTATAAAATTTACCAGGCGGTGTGCACACTGGAATCGCAAAGCATGCTGGTCGAAAATCAAAATCAGTTCATTTGCATTCTGGCTACGTTGCAGTAAACAGCTCGAACAAGATATATTTACATGTAATAGCTTATCAAATATTCATATAAGAGTCCTTATTTAATACTTATAAATATGATATATATTTATGTATGGGTATTCCCGGTCTGTTGCCGTTTTTGAAGAACTATACAAAGCGATGTAACCTCCGAATCTTTTCAGGGAAAACTGCCGCTATAGACGCTTCTTGCTGGCTTCACAAGGCATTGTGTGTGTCGATAAACCACAGTGGAAGTCGAGAGAGGTAAGGCTTGTTAAGTTTGTAAAATTGTTTAGTGATTTATGGAGATTTTATATGTGATACATTTATAGCGATCTGTTAATATTCATTCTGATTTTTGCATTGCATTTTGGTAGATCCAGTGAAATTTTTAAAGCTTATCTTCAAAAGGTGAAGAAGGCCGGAGTGATTCGGATTGTGGTGTTCGACGGATTGCCTCTGCCAGCAAAAGCTGAAGAAATGACAACAGAAGGTAAGGAAGCCGTTTTTTAGCAGCACAAAGGTGCAAATACGATGACTTTTAATTTGCTATTTAATTAAACAGATATTGAGAAAGTCTTCTGAGACAAGCTGACGAAGCCATCACAGTCGAGAAGGCAAATAAACTTCGAAGCCAGGCTGTGTCAATTACGTTCAAAGACATCATTACTTGTATAGAAGTAAGCAAGTACCTTTGTATTACCAGCTAACCTTAATTGTATTTATATACAGTAGCTTGTAACTTTGCCATCAAGCTACTTTACTAGAATTATTCAGATACAAAATTGTAATTTTCTAAATTGTAATCAAGTAATACACGGGCCGAAGAATTTAATCCTGAATGTTATGATTGTATTTTGTTGTCAATTCTGTGTTCAAAACATTTTCTTTAAGATATGTAAAGCTGAAAAGGTGGACTATGTTGTTTCACCATACGAGTCAGATGCCCAGATAACATATTTGGTCTTAAATGGTTTGGCAGACTTTGCCATCACAGAGGATTCTGACCTCCTTGCATATGGTTGCATGAGGGTATGCAGTTGTTTATGTAGTATCATTTCTAATCAACCCTCTTAATTCCTAATTTATAATTCCTAACATAACACAAGTTTTATTGTTAAGGTTTTAAACTTTAATGAGAACACCACTAAAGGCTAACCCACTAAACAAAATGGATATTATGAGCCCTACTTGAAGGGCTGGCCATTGTGAGCGAGATCCTGCAAGTTGCTTGCATTCCCTAATAAATCAAAATTTATTTTCATTTATATGATAAGAGAGCAGAACTCTCCTATGCGAGGTTTTGCTATTGACTCCACAATATATATCATCTCGACAAGGTTTTGCTATTGTCTGGCAATCCTAGTATGTACGAGTTAAAAACCCACCATATTTATTATGTACTCAGTCTTTCGAGGATTTTTTTACTCATTAATATTTACAGTACCTGTATGCCAAGAACAATATTCAATTGTCTGATGGTTATTAGAAAATCTGCTCGGCAAAATATGATTTTTTACTTCCAGCCCGCCCTACAAGAATCATCTAGCATTAGACACAGTGAAATAGGTTGGTGTAAAGAAAGTAATAAAAGTAACAAACTAGGGTGCAATGAGGCACATTGCAGACTAACAGGTTAAGTATCAATCATTGCAGCTAAAATGTAAAAAAATGTGTCATTTGGGAATTTGAGCATGCCACCCCACAGGGGTAATGTAAAATGTATTCCTGACAGCAGTAGGAAGAGAGAAAACAAATTTCCATTTCCTCTCTCTGACATAGCAAATAGAGAAATAACATCATGCAATTAACTTTTAATATAGGTAATGGTGAAAGTTTCAATGAGCGGAGATGGGGATCTTCTGTTGCTATCTGACATTTTAGATGGATGCAAATTAAAAATGGAACAGTTTCGTAAAATGTGTATTGTGGCTGGGTGCGACTATCTGAAAAGTATAAAAGGTATAGGCATACGAAGGGCCTTCCAGCTGGTCAGTTCAGATCAAGACCTAATGGAGCTGTTGTCCCAAAGAGGAGCATCTGAAGACTATATGAAAAAACTTGGTCAAGTAGAGGAGGTATTTAAACATCAAACAGTCTTTGACCTGCAAACGTGCACTACAGTTCCTTTGCTGAATAATCAAACTGCACTCTCCATGGATGTTCAGCTTCTTTGTGGAAAGTATCCTTATTATCAATAACAATGTAACATACAACCCTTTGTCTCAGGGATTACTAAATTAGTTCAATCAAACTCTATCATCATTCATCTATCACTAATTTCATCTATTTACGACTCTTCATTCATGACAGGTTTCAGTTCTTTTATAAGAAGTTAAGTGTATGTATGTTATTTCTTGTATTCCTTTCTTCCTTGGATACCATTACGATTTTAACCCATTAAGCGCCAGCACTCTCCCCTTGATGAGTAAAATCGTCTGGCGTTAGACAGAGTAAAATACTATTTAAGTAGGGTGCATCAGGGTGCAATGCTGCGACTCAATGGGTTAAGTAACAATTCACTCAACTTTTTTGTTTTGCTCTGTCTAATGCCAGATGATTTTATTCATCAAGGGGTGAGTGCTACCACTTGATGGGTTAACCAAACATTCTGCTATTGCATTCTGTTAATATAATGCACCCTGGACATGCCCTCAGGACTTTATTATTTTACTCTCTCCAACGCTAGATGATTTTACTTGTCAAGGGGAGAGTGCTGGTCTCTATTTGTTTCTTGTTCTGAGCATTCTTTCAAACAAATCAAATACACGAGTAAATGATAATTTTGTCATATTAAGGGAGGGTTTTTGATCTTATTTTCATGTTTAATTCCTATTTCCTTAACATTAAAGTAAATTAAATGATGCATATGCAAATGACCTTGCTGTTGGTAATATAGACCCAAATAATGGACAACATGTTAACAACTTTCCTCATCACATAAAGGTCTGTACACATCTTTATAAAAGGTTATAAAAGTCAATAAATTAGAAAGATTATTTAAGGGGCCATCCACAAAGGATGTCCTGCCAAATGATGGATTTTCAGACCCGTTGCACATCATTTTTTCCCAATTCAAACCAATTTCATGCATTGCTAACCCCCCCTCCCCCTATGTCCAAGTTTGTCCTGATTTTCCAAACCCCTCCCCCAGCTCGGCTTGGACATCCTTTGTGAATGGCCCCTAAAGGAATTGATTTTGTGATTTCCGATTGGCTAATAGCCAAATGTGAAATTGTCATCTTAAGTCAATAACTGATGAAATGTGGAGTTTTGGTTTGTTAGTATTCAACAGAGTAACAATGATATGAAAAATAATATATCAATGGCAAACCTCATAGCACAAAATTCTGGCACATGATAACATAATATCATGCTCGACCTTGTTCAATAACTGTTAATTACTCAATAATATTTATTTGTTCACAATAATTATTTGTAATTTATAGGGAGGTGTAGCTGGTACACCTGGTCAGGAGGATGAACTTATCACATCCATGGTGGAGCCAAATGGTAAGAACATTTTTATTTTCTACTTTCAGTATGTAATATTACAGTTGCGGCAATAGAAAAATGATCAGTTCAATTCCTAACTTTTGCTAATTCATTTGACGAGTTCCTCAAGTGGTTGCCAATTCAAACGACAGTCAACTTCCTGCGTTCATCCGATTGGTTATTGAATTACTAAGCAAAACATGATTGGGCAATTTAAAGCAAATACCAGGAAGTTGTCAACATTTTTACAGTCGTGCCAATAGAAGCGTTCCGAAAAATGTTGACCAATTCATTTCCTAACTTGAAGGAACACCTCTGAACAATTCCTCAACAATTTGATAAGTTCCTTAAAAAGTTCCAAACTTCCTGTTTCATTGACCAATCAGATTGCTCAAAAATAAAATATAAAATTTGATTGGTCAATGAAACAGGAAGTTAGGAACTTTTTAAGGAACTTGTCCAATTGTTGAGGAATTGTTCAGAGGTGTTCCTTCAAGTTAGGAAATGAATTGGTCAACATTTTTCGGAACGCTTCTATTGGCACGACTATAGGAAATTATCAATATTTTGAGGGATCTTAATATTTGAGTGATCTGGGAACAGATTTTGTACCCAAGATGTCTGTCTGTTTCCATTGTGTCCCACATCGAACTGCATTGGCCATATGCCAGGGGGGGGGGCACTGCATGTACATTGGGGTGAATATACAACTTGAAGGTGTTAAATTAAACAAGACTATAGTGATGTAACATTTCAAATTCGACTACAGTATGAGGACTTCGCTATATTGTGTTCCAGTATCAGAAATGGAAAATGTTACCATTAACCTATTAGAGTGCGAGTCTCTTCCCTAGACAAGTAAAATTGTCTGGCATTAGACAGAGTAAAAGAATAAAGTAGGGTGCATTTTTGCTTAATGGGTTAAGGTAACAGTTGACCAGGTGTTTCCCACATAATACTAATGACAACCATTACATGCAAAAATTTAATTTAACTACAACTTTATTTACACAAAGTTATATTAGATGTCTATAACATCATTTTAGGTGGTGTGCAACAGCAACCAGTAGACAAATTTAGCTTACATGAAAATTAGATTCAAATGCATCAGCTAAACAAACACCACGTGCATGAAGTTACAGTAAAATTATTTATATCTTATTGTCATACAAGCTCAATTTGTCTAACCCCAGATAATAAAAAGTGAAAACTAGCTATAACTAACCTAATTTATTTGTTCAGGTGATGATATCAATTGTCAAGAATTTAATTGTGACATTATTCACATTGACAAGTTATCTTCCATTTCTTGGAAAATTCCACAATTTCCAGTTATGACACTGGAATTCATTATTGTACATTTTCAAAGAGGAGGCAAGATTTATAAAGGTGTTTTTGAAAAAAGTAGGATGTCAGATATTCAGGTTGGGTCATTCACATGTACCTCCCACTGCCAAATTGAAATCGACGGTGAAAACTATGTAGTGTTGTGGAAACTGGTCAAATCAAAGGTAACCCACATCGAAGATACTTTTCAACCATCTGATTCAAATGAACAGTCTGAAAATGGAGAACATATTGAAGACCAGTTATCTGACACCTATCATTGTTTGCCATTTAAAGTTCTTGGAACATGTTACAGTTCAGATCGACAGAAATCCCTTGATGAAGCATACTCATATCTTGAAGAGTACAACAGACCAGTTTTTGTAAAACTAGAGGCTGAACCGGAAAATGCTGTTGATAGAAATGCAATCGCTGTGTATGTAATGTCATCAGGAGATTATGATAAAGTGGGCTATATAGCATAGAATAAAGATCCACATAGAAGGGCAACTTACGTCGGAAGCTTTGAAGTTTCTGTCCTCGCGCATGTCGCATTACGCATGTTGGCCGCCATTTTCCTAGCCAGTCAATGACATTTTCTGGCCAATAAACACGCTGTACTGGCTGGCTGCTCCGCCTTCTGGCCAGTAAACTGAATATTTTTGCATAAAAAAACGAGGACACGTTGCACCGCTGAGTTGCCCTTCTGTTACTGATCTTTATTCTGTGCTATATAGCAAAAGAACTAACAAAATATGTCCACCCAGTTCTCAATGACCCATCTCTTGATGTTACAGTTAAAAAGATTCGTTTCTGCACAACTTATCGATTGATCGGGTTCTACTTGACAATTGATATCACTAAGAAAGGGCTATGGGACAAAACAGTGGTCACTGCAAGCAAAAAAGTAATGTAAGTTCATTCTGTAATAAAGACATTGTTTTAATTGCCCGGTGTCTCTTGTGTTAATGGGGGTGGAAGTGCCACAGGTTCCCTGTGAAATTTTGCTCTGGCAGTGAGCTGTCCCTTTTGTGGTAAGGATGCCCGGTTAGCAACAAATACACCTGGGTCTCCACGTCTTGACAGTTTTACATCGTCAAGCCTCTCCTTGTCACCATTGCCAGATGGCTCATTAAATGATGGAAGCTCGAACTCAGTGTAACGTTCCTTGGCTCCTGTCCAGTAATAAAACTGTAACTCAGGATCTATCCTCTTGCTAAATTCATTCAAAATCTTTGGCTGTGCATCACTAAACTGTTTCATATCAAATATGTCTCCAAGCATATCATGCATTAGGCCAATCATACCTTCAACATCATCCGTTGCAGATGCACGAGGGTGTTCAGGGGGGAGACCTCTCTCTTCATACTCAATGCGCCGAAGCTCCCTGCTCTCCAAATTAGCAACAAGACCAATTACAGCCTCCTTGGTCAAGCCACAAATTCCCTTTATTTTCCTGTCAATAATTCATTAAAAAGTCATTTTTAAAAAATAGTATCTAAAATTATATATAACTGTGTAACTTCGTGTCATAACTTTGTTGCCATTTCTTTGAATTATGACTTTTCTGGCAGCAATTACACATATTTCCAGGCTTTCTAGTTCTTTCAGACACAACCAATAGGAAGATACATTTACCATATATACATTTACAATTTAATCATTTCAAATTAATGCCGAGATAAAATTGATTTAAAGCCTGCCAGCCTGGCTCCCTGGTCAAGATCATATCAGCTGTTGATATTTTTTCATAATCAGAAAGGACTGATTTGCATGCACATCATACAACCTGATAGGGTCAAGACACTCAGCAAGGCTGATTATATTCAAATTATTAACAGGCAATATGACCCTTTATATATTTTTACTCATCAAAGGGAGACAATGGGTCCTTTAATTCTGGTAGTTGCATTATGTAACATCATCACAAAAGGAGACATATTGTATTTTATAGCAAAATATCTTACCGATTCACATCAATTGTGCTGAAGTCAGGTTGATAACTAAACCATGGCATCCAATCATCCAGCAACCACTCCTTCATCGCTCTGCAGTACAAAGACCTTTCTTCTTCTGTAAGCCCTCTTCCATCCACTGCCTTGTGCCAGTTGTGAAGACGTTTGACAACATTGGCGTCTTTGACATGGCCATTCCGTTCCAGAAATGCAATGACCCCAGGATTAATAAGGCGCTCACAGTCTGGAACTGATTGCTTGTTCTTTCCTGTGAGTGCCTCATATGTTAAGCCTGTTGTGGGGTCATGCAAAGCATCTCTGAAATGTTGTAAATCAATGCCAGGGATATGACCTCCACGAAGACGTGACACAATGCGTTTCAGAAGATGATTGTGGTCTTCTCTATGATGGATTCGTTCTCCATTTTTGTCTTTCTCAGGCTGGTACAAATTCTTGCTAAAATCAGCTGGATCAGTAACGTGATGCTTGAGATCATCTATCCTTTTCCGGTAGAGAAATATCGCCAATATTGATTTTAATATTTCTCCAGTTGTTTCAGGTCTTCCTATAAAGTTCACATGGAAACATATAGTTTACTAACATACAACCATAACAAATAATTTGACAGCCCAAGGACTTCTAAACTTGATATGAAATTAAAATTATGTACCTTCTACCCAAGGGTGTGGATCATGCATAAATGGAAACAACTTTCTCCTCAAAATGTATAGTGCCCGATTAAATGAGACTGGTTCTCTTCCATCTTTCATGTATTCATTCAGCCATATCACTTCTTCCAGAGGAACAGCTGGATTGCGAGATAATGGTTGTCCTAGCAAAATAGAGAGAAATGTCAGAAAGCAGATTTTGTAATATAATTCATATTCATAAAATGTGTTCTAATTTATCCCCAGGCAGGCAAAGGCATAGTAAAAATGAAAGGTGGGCATTGCAGCTAAATGAGTTATCAAAATACATTAATTAGCAAATAGTTGGTCAATGCTTGGCCCCAGCCTAACCCCCAGGGAATTATTAATCTGTGGCTCATTTCCTCTTGACCAGTAAATTTGTCCATTCAAATGAGTAAAATCTGGTATTAGACAATGTACTGTAATAGAGAGTTTGAGCAACACAACGAAGTACGAAGACATACTTGACAATTTTTGCCGTCTGCACATTATCTTGTGCATGCATACTGTGTTGGACGTCACTGGTAGTTCCTCAACGTGTCTTCCCATGTGTCGTTGTTTATGAATACTGACCATAATTCTTGCCCTGATCCAGAAAAAAACAGCGAGACATGAAACTATATCCCGTCTTTGTCCTTCTGCCTTCGTGCAGAA